GGTATTCCTTGACGGCTTCTACTTTGGCAGGATCTGGATGTAATTCATTCCCTTGCACGATGAATCCTAGATATTTTAATTCTGGAACACAAAACTTACATTTCTCGCGCTTTACCAACAAACCCACTTCTCTGAATAATTGGAACAGAATCCGTAGAACTTCGATATGGATTTCGAGTGTGGGTGTTGCCACTATCCAATCGTCCATATACGGGTGGATATAATTCACCCAATATGCTGGTTTGCGTACTAATCGTAGCAATGCTTTAAATAATTGCTTAAAGTCGTCCATAGCTTGTTGGAATTTACCTGGAGCGGTTTTCAATCCAAACGCCATACGGCAAAACTGAAAAGATCCCATACCTTCGACCGCGAATGCTGTATATTGGCGGTCGCTTTTCCTAATCAAGATCTGGTAATATGCGTTTGTGCAGTCAATCACGCTGCGGTATTGTCCTTCTCGGATAACCTCAAGCGACGTGTCAACTCGTCTCATCGGGTAGGCCCTGTTCTTAATGACCTTGTTCAGTGGTCTGAAGTCCACGCACATTCTCCAGGTGGCAATATCATCTGGATGTTGACCGGGTAGTAACTTTTTCTTAACCATTACTGGCTGGAAGCTCCATGCGCTGGTACTGGGTTCAATTACTCCTTTATGTAACAGTTCTTCAATAATTTTATGTAAAGCTTCAGTTACCTTTGGTGATCTCCGGTACGGTTTCACGTTAATGGGAGTGTCGTCGATGAGCTCGATTTCGAATTCCACCCCTTTTAGTGTTCCTAACTCTACTTGGCTCATTTTATTGAATTCTTCGTCCAGCATTTCCTGTAAACTGGCCTGTTCGGCGTCCGTCAGTTTGGCACTGCACACTATATCAGGATTTGATTGGGACACGTCGTTTGATGATCGTTGGATATTGTCGTGTTTCCATGACCACGACAACTGATGGGTATTCAGTCGTATCATCTGATCCGCCATGAATTTCATCCCAAGGATGACATCATCGGAGATATTTTCAAACACTTCGAACCACGCTTGTAAAACTATTCCGTGTATTTCGAACTGGATCCGTATCCGACCTTGACATTGAATTACGCTGTTATCTGCTAACACAAATGAGCAGGGATTAGTTAGAGTTTTATGTTGAGTTATATTACTTTCCATCAAATCTGCTACGCCTTTCCTAATGAAGTTCCTATTTGCGCCGGTATCGAACAAGGCTGCAACACTTCTATTTGCAAAAACGATTTTACAATAAATATGTCGATTTACCTGTCGTGGTGGTGGCGTATCCATGACAGATCTAGGTGGTATACTTTTTCGGTTAATTATATCTGGTATGCGTCCAAATAATTCTGGTTGCTCCTGTGAGTTATCGGATGCCTTTGATCTTCTTTGAGGTATCAGTGAATTTTCTATGGGTTGCGTTGGTGAATCGTTAATTGATGCACAACAACAGTTCTTGAAACAATTTCCCATATCACCACAGTCAGTGGTAACATTGTAACTGGACTCCGACTGATCGTCTGATAAACTGAGTCGTCCTCAGAGTTGTAATTGTTGCTAGTGGGGTGATATACCTCCGTCCTCGGTCGAAGGACTGTTGCTTGTGCGGCAGGATTCCCTGTCTGAGCGGGTGCATTTATCTGCCGCTGTTGCACTCGCTCTCGGCGTTTTTTGTCGTGCAATTACATGTTGTAACTGACACCCCTCTTTTAAAACAAGACACACATATTTCTATTCGCGGATTTCTGCACTCCGTCGTTTTATGCGTCCCCGTTTCTCCGCAGTTCAGGCAGGTGTAACTTTTCCCTACCGACCTGGTCGACTTCGAGCTCGCTTTAGAATCTCTCGAGTTACTTCTATTTCTTTGTGTATTGTTATTTGTAAAGGCAAGCGACACTTTTGTTTTTTTGTCCTTATCCTTACGGTTTATTCTACCGACTTTCCTGCTTCCCGGGTCGTCTGAATCAGAACCGCTGCTTTCCAATGAGTCTCGCGCGTCTTTGATTTTTCTTACTGAGTATGACTTTCTTCTGTCTTCTCTTGCTGCTTTATATTCTGCTATCCTTCGCTCTGCTACTGTTATTGTGTCTAATAGTGCGAAGCAGCTTTTCACATTGACATTCTCCTGTATTTTGGCTTCTAATCCTGCGATTATCAACTCTATTTGTTCGTCAATTGGCATTATTTTGCCTAATTCTTCGAATTTTGTTCTCATGCGTAGTACAAATTTTCTAGGTGTTTCTCCCTGTTGTTGACGTTGGTTGAAAATTTCTTTCAAGATATCTGGGTCTTTTCTCGTCTCGCAGAATGTTGTTTTGAAGCATTCTTCAAAATCTTCCCATCGTTCCCACGCATGTTCATTTTGTTTTATCCAGTCCCTTTCATCCATCGATATCCTTACTAATTCTATCATTTCTATCATGTTTAGTTCGTATTCCTCACAAACTAATTTCAATTCTTGCAGGTATTTTCTGGCGTTTTCTGACGTGAAATTTAATTTTTTCACTCGTACTATCGTCTCTGCAGTTTTTATCCGGTCTGATATTGCTTTGAATGAGTTTGGGCCTTCCCAGTTGGAAAAACTCCCTGATGGATTGTAGTTTCCTCCACCTTCTCTATCGTAAATGCTGTTGAAGATGTTTTGTCTTCTTTCTGGACGTTTGTTTGTCGATTCTGCGAAGTGTGCTGTTCTTCCGATTGCTGTTGAAGATTAGATATTTCTTTCTATAATTTCTAGTAACTCTTCAAATAGTTCTACGTCGTTTGTTACTTAATTCGCAATATCATTCATCATTTGGCCGTTTATTTTTCCGTCACTTCCTAGTAATCTTTTCACTATGTTCTACTGCAACGGATGATATGATATTCTTCACGTACTGGATCATTCTTGCTGCCCATTTGCGTGCTGCTTCGCTATCCATTTTTCGCAAGGCCTTCTCTTCAATCGCTTGTAGAAATATTTGTCAGTTTGTTGCCTCGATTTGCCAGTTGATTCCTTATTCTGACTGATTTACTACTTCATTTGTGTAGTTTTGCATCGGGTGTATCACTTGTTCGACAGTTTGTTGGCTGGGTGGTCCATCAAGTACGATGTCGGCTACTGTTTTTGATTTATTGTTTTTTCCTTTTTCTTTACTTTTCTTCTGTGTAATTTGTTCTAGCGGCTGCTGTCCGGCAGTGCCAGGTCCTGCTATTTGACTGGAGTTCAGCTGTGTTCTCATTTCTTCAGCTTCTCTTTGAGATTTGTCTCGTTCTTGCTGGAGTCGTTTTACCTCCTCCTGGAGTTTTGCGTTGCGTGCTCTTATCGTATTTTTCGTCATTTTGAAATCCGTTACAGTCTGCGAATATCACAAACCAAGTTAGACTAGGTAGCCGTTTAAATAGAACGAATTTTCAGAAATTTTAGAAATAAATAAAAAATAAATAAAAAAAAAATTGGCAATGGTACAATCAATAAAGCTGCCTGGGTCTGAGCCTCCTTCCTTGTTCTCGCTGACTGTTCACCTGTCAACAACTCGAAAAAAAAATTTTCAAACTGTTGGGTTTTTTTTTAAGAGTTTATTAAATTTTATTGTTTAGACTAATTTTAAATTTTAATTGATCGACTTGAGTCTAAATCTTAATTGTTTAAGCTAAGTCTACTTATTTGCTTATCCATTCTCAATGCAATTATTTTATTTATCGAAATAGGCTATCTTTACCTTGGTTTTCTGGTAAGTCTTTCCATGATAAATTTAATCTGATTTTACAGCCTAATAAGTGAATATTAACAATGGTTTTATTTTATTTTGAATTTACGTTCAGACTATTATAATTCAATTGATAGATGTAATTGTTGGATTGGAAAAAGTTTACTTGCGTGTGTTTGTGTGTACGTGTGACTACCGTCACGCCACTCAGCAGGTGCAATCGATGAATCGATGAACTGGGAAACTGCAGTATCGATTTACCAATAGATTTGCCGGTGTACAATGAATGTATACGCTAGTATTTAATTCTCAAAAATTTCGTCCTTGGCAGAGGATTAAATTACTCTCTGTCTTTTTCTTATAACTTAATAAACTAATAATTTCTACTGAGTTAAATTTTATTTTTCTGGTTTTAACTTAAGCAATTAATTTACATGGATCTACGACGCTTTTTGTTATATTAATTATTATTATCATTATCATTTTTTTTTTTCCCGCGCCTTTGAAATTATCTTGTTACAGGTCAAATTATCTCGACTCTAGATTTTTCTCCATGCGGTTTCGAAATTTCTCGAACTAATTTTTACTTAATGCTAAATTACTTTTTGATAAAAATAAATTTTTATCACAATGATCCGTTCAGATAAAAAGATGTTAATTTATAACAAATTATATGAAAAACTATCCTGAATTTTCTGAATAAAAATCAATTAATTTTTTTTCTGCAAACAAGAATAAACTGACTGAAATTGATGACAAAAATTAATTAGGTATCAATTGATTAACCCGTTGGGCGCCAGTTGAAACGTGGGTGGGCGTTTCTATGGCCACTTCGGTGACCTTCCGTGGGTGATGACCGGCAAACGACTCAAATAATTCCTTGCAAAACAACTACCAATTATCTGCATCAATGNTATATATATATGTCATTAAAATATTAACTTCTAGAATAAACACAAAGCAAACTTGAAATGCTTCAACGATCATTCGACGGTATTTCGACCAACATGTGACCATTTCCAAGAGTAAGAACATTAATCTAATTAAATGGTCACTTGATAGTTTGAATTAAAATAATTTCTTTTCGATTTACGATATTTAGTTAAGGAACAGTAGTTAAATAATTTATACATACTATATTCAATTTGGTGAAGCCTACTAATATATTTTTCTTATTTTTAACAGTATCATGTAGTAATTGCTCACTTAATTTTCATTTGTCTACTACTATCATAACATAGTATGTTGACCAAAATTACTAAGCGTTGTTGATATTTTATTAATTTTATTACAATTTATTACAGATGGATTCTTCAAACAGCACGAGGGTTTTTCTACGCTCAGTGAGTATCAAAACGAGTGGCTTGTTTCGATGTGAAGTGTCTGCTGAGAAACCATCCTTCTCATCTGCACAAGCTGAAGCGCGAATGGAAGTCCTATGTAAGTAAGCAGGTACAATAATTTATATTTTAGGCAATATATTTTTTCATGGGTAATCAAAAGGAAATTTTCAACAATTATATTAAGTTACGCGTTCCTGTTACTAGAAAATCGTCTGAATTTGTTTACATATGGTGTAACTAAAATAAGTTGAGGGGTTTTCAGAAGGTAATAGGGCAGTATGAAACAAGAAAATAAGGAAAATTTTTGTATCTCCAGAAGTTCACCATTTTTGAGAAAAACGTAGTTTACAGGCAAATGTAGCGCAACATTGAATCAGCTAACTATTAGCAGCATTTCCGTTGTTTCTCCTTTGTACTTTTTTGCAGATATATTGTTTCTCGTACTCTCCATTTCGGCCCATCTAAACCACATCCTATCCTTGACACGGTTAGCATCATGGTATTAGTGGTCCCAAACGACTCATTTTTGGTGTAAAGGCGGTAGACAAATCGATATCTAACCGGTACATTTACTACCTTTCTTTCATCTCTGAAATAGTCTTTCAGTTTCGGTAACCGACTAAAGTTGTTTTTGAACACGGTCTTTACAGAAGTCCGTGGCTACACAATAAGCCAGCGAGTATTTCGTATCGGGTACCGTTTTTGTTGGCGCGCCTTACATGATGATGAGTCCGTCTTCTTAATTACCTTACCTCTATGCGACTCCTCGTGTATCCCGCGCACCTTACCTTGCCATTTAGAAGCCTACTTAACAACATCATATTTCAGCGTTCAGCCTAATGAATCAGTATGAGTGCTTAACCTGTCCAACATGCGGCGCTGTTGTACGTCATCACCACTCAAGCCATCGAGTTGAAAGCTATCTTTTCGAAGGTACCATTGAGCGTATTTGGATAGGCGAGACGAACAAGTCTTGCGACATTTGCCTCGCATTCTTGCAAAGTTTCCGCTGCCTTTTGACGCCGGTTTCTTGGTTAGATCAGATAGATTTTTGACAAGTGCTCTTGGCCGATTCGTATTTGGTTCCGTTTTACTAGCTGTTGTTATTTTCCTAACTCTTCAGGACGTAGTGTGTTTAAAATTTCCTCAGCACAATCACTTAAGACACATATAAGTGTAGTGGATTTCTCCTTCTGTGTTCAAAACTTGGTCCCTGCTGCTTCGAATTGCATAAAGAAACTACTCCATGATGTCTTCCCATCGATCTTCGGTGGGTCCGCGTGTAGATTTGATGGAACGGAATGTTCCTGCTTCACGTCAATGATTTCCTGAATAATGATCATATTATCCTGCTTCCCTGGAAGCTTGTTATCAATCTTTTCAGATGTATATATTTGTCTTCAGAAGCTATTCTTCTAGCTCTTTCATCCGTGCATCCATTCATTTAATTTGACTTTCAAATTTATTTTCTGTTTCGGCCAATTTTTCGTCAAATGTAATTCTTCTTTTAAAGCTTTAGGATTCTCATTTAATTGCTTCTGTAATGCCTTTGAAGTTTCATTTAACCTTTCTCCAAAATTTTCTTTTAATGTTCTAGAATTTTCATCTAAATTGTCTTCAAAATTCTTATTTAATTCTTCTTTCAGTAATCATTAATTTTCGTTTCATTTTTCTTCTAAAGTTTCTGATTTTTTATCTAACTTTTGTACCAATTCTTTAAATAACAATGTTTCCCGATTGAACCCATTCAGCGTCAGGGCAACTAAGAGTGGCTCCTGTATGGTACAAGGCAAAACACCAAAAAAACTGCATCAGGAAAAAAACTCAGCCATTGGTTCCTGGATTTACCTGATCGGAAATGAGAGATATTCGTGCTAACGCGAGAGCAATCGAACAGCTATAGAGAACCATTCCAAACTGTATTTGGCGTTCACACAGTACAGAAATATGTAACAAATTCAATAACCACTACGATAACAATATGAGAAAAATAAGCAACAGGTTACAAATAAATCATTACACAAAAACAGTATTTTATGTAGGAAAAAAACGTTACAATTTACGTTAACACTACCTAGACACATCAATTGCTTCTTATTTATATCACACGATAATGCTTATGTACTCGTCACTGTATTTATATTAATGTATTGTTTAGAAGACAAAATATGCGCCACTTAGAAACGATTTATTATCCTTAGCGGTTTTAGAAGTAAAGTTACCTTTCATCCGCCAGTGGGCATACTCTAGAACCGTTGAAAATCAATGCACTGATTTTCTCGCGTATGTTTGTACGTAATAATTAATAATATTCTGCAAAGTCTTAACTATTTTCAAATGTAATTCGGTACACAAAGAAGTGGTCATAATAATCGGATTGCATGGCTATGATTTGAGACAACTTCTTACAAATCTGTGATGCAAGTCTAGATATGGAAATTTCATAATTTTATGTAATGTATGGGTAAAATTAATGTGAAAATTAATTTTCGAGTTTCCATCCACTACAAACTTCCTCAGGATAATGAGGAAAAATATTTTAATTGCTGTTGTCACACTCTCACCGGTCAGAGCGTTGGTGCGTAAAGCCAAAGGTCCTGGGTTCGATTCCCGGCGGGAGTGTGGGAACAGCAACAAAAATATTTTTCCTCATTAACCTGAGGAAGTTCGTAGCGGATGGATAATTAAAAATAAATTTTCACATTAATATTGCACATTAACCACTATTAGTAATTAAAACTGTCATATGGTTTCATATACATAGTGTATATATAATTACGTTAATAAAATCGACGGATCTGTAACCTCGTAGGCTCAGGTTGTCGTGGTTGCTGTTGTCATCATCTCTCGTAGCTTAGTGGTCAGAGCATTCGTGCGTAAAGCCAAAGTACCCGGTTTCGATTCCCGACGGGGGTGTGTCAAAAGCAACAAAAGTATTTTTCCTCATTAACCTGAGGAAGTTTGTACTGGATGGAAAATCGAAAATGAATTTTCACATTAATGTCTTAAACTCTTCTTGGTACAATTTTCGTGAAACTGTATGATTTCAAACATTCAAAAATACAGCAAACAGAATTAAAAAGTGATCCTACGGCAAATTTTTAAAAATCATTTTACAAACTTCTTAACTGAAAACGCTTGGATACTGTCTATCACTTTCGTATTTAAAAATCTTAACCCGGCAGCTTCTGTTTTGTACGGTCCCCCAAAAATACACAACGAAGGTAACCCAGTGAGACCAGTGGTCTCCTACATAAACGCTCCTGCATATAAATAAACAAAATTTACAAATTATTTATATAGGTCTTTTCTTTGTTTGTCTAGGGTTAAATAAAAACGAAACCAGCTCCACTATTTTGGAATGTGTTTAATGAATAAAATTTAATATTCAGAAGTATAACGGTTTGTACAATTAAAGTTTACCACAGTACTGAACAGTTATCCTGATACACTTATTTTTTATTGGTCACAAACAGCACATCAATATACACTTCATTTTACCGTCTTCCGTTTTTTTTCGTCTTTATCGTCTTTTTCAAGCCTTCCGTCTTTTGTGCGTTTTTTGTCTTTTACGCGTCTTTCGTCTTTTTCACGTCTTTCGTCTTTTATTGTACTCTTTGTTTTTAGTCTGACCTCAATGGCTACGTATTTGCAACTACTCCGCCCCCCGCGGTATTCACCGTAGTTCGCGTCGGTAAACTCCCAATAATGTGAAACTTGCGAAAACAATTCGAATGAATCAGGAGCGGAAAAAATGCAGAAACTCGCTATCGTATTATTAGGATAAATATAACTATTATAACTTAACGAAAAGAAAAATATTGAAAATAAGACAAAAATCCACACCCGGCCATCCTGACCACGAATCTGACTCGGATTCGGTCTGATTTTTAACCCACAGTTTTAAGTATTCGGCGCAGGTGGTAGTGCGCATTGGCCCTTCATGGTGTTCCAGTTTTAATCTATCATACCTTTCATTAGACTTGTCTTTTATTATTTCGTATGGCTCTAAATATTTTGGATAAAGTCCCGGGCCGAATCATGTACGCTTGATGGTTACTTTATAAGGTTTTGGTTTTCTTCTTCTCAGATTGTATCTTTTGTATTCTCATCCTGTACTTTTTGGATTTGTCTCTTAGATTCTTCCCGGAGTTTTTCCAGATTTTCATTAAATGTATCAATTGTTTCCTTCTCAATGAGTTCTTTAATAAGAATATCCTCTTTGTTCCTCATTTTAGTTCCAATAAGGACTTCAAACGGAGTAGTGTTGATACTTCTCTGTATGGTACAATTCAATGCTCTCTGCACTCGATCTAAATACTTGTACCATACCATAGGATTTTCTAAACTTGGTTAATATTGAGACAATTATGCGATTGATACGCTCCACTTACCCATTCCTCTAGGTGCTCCTGTGGCAATTAAAACATGCTGTATGTTTTCGTCAGAACAATATGTTTCAAATTCCTCGACTGTAAACGCCGTTCCTCGATCACTAATAATTCGGGCAGGATTGTCAAGTATTCCTTGCTGTTTTGTAAGGCAACTGACAACCTTGCCGGCCGCCGTAGACTTAGTGGCGTATAACTAAGTGAATTTCTAGAAATCGTCGACAATCACCAAAATGTGACGATAGCTTTTGTTTTATTTCTGTATTTTTTTTTTTCATTTCTGGGGTAATATTCTCTTCTCTCTTTTTATTAATTCTTTCGTTTTATCGATTGCGAAATGTCCAATCTCATGAGCCTTCTTAATTATTTCATCTTACTTAGCTTCGGGAACAACTATCAATTCTTTTCCTTCCACATATTTGTATAAAATATCATTCTTTAGGTGATAATCTTCGTATTCAACATCAGCTTCTAGTAGTCTTCTTATAGTTAGTATATGTCCTTGATAATATTTTTATTTAGTTTCCTGTAGTCACAACAGATCTGGTGTGTCCGTCTTTTTTACTCACTAATACAATTGGACTAGCAAAATCAGAAGAACTAGGCCAGATGCCTTCCTTCAACCACTCCTTCATTTGTTTGTCGACAATTATTTTCTGGGGGCAGCCAATCGCCTAGATCTTTGATAAACAGGTTCCTCACTTCT